CCCCAAAACCCCAAAACCCCAACTACTGATTTCAATCTCTAAAAAATTTTTGAATAAATAAAGCAAAGGTTAAATAAATTAAAATAGTTAGTTTAGTATAAGAGTTATATAGAGTATATTTCACTCTGGTTGCTCTGTTTCAATATCAGGTTTCGGCTCATCTTGAATTAGTCCCACTGGTTATTACTATGTCTATTCTTCCTTTTTTTCTTTAAGTGCTGACTCAATATCCCCATTTTTAAGCCCTTTTTTATCTCTCTTAGGTGATGTTTTCTTAGTATATAACTTCAAGGTGTCCTTGCTGGCAGCTTTGTATTGAACGATTTGTAACTGAAAACAAAATTAAAAAAATGTGAAATCGTTACCTTCTTTTCAGTCTTATCTTTCTTTCCACCATGGTTGCCAGCCCCTTCTTGCTTACCATCCTTTGATTCTTCTAGAAGTATAACACTATCTCTCAAATCTCTATCAGTAGAATTATCTTAGGTCTTTGATAACTATCTCACTTGCTATAACATAGCATCATCCATTGATTAAGATACTTCTTTGAGTTAACTTCTATCAGGCTGCTCATTCTCCTCCTCATTATTTTCATCTGCTGATGCTGTTCCCAAGGGTGGAAGAGCACCATGTTTCCCATTATTAATTGGAAGTTTTTTCTTGTACAATTTTCTAATCGAACTTGCGTATTTCTTATGATTTTCAAACTCTTATTCAAATTCGGAAATTTACAAATGAGGTTTTCTATTTTAAAAAAGTTGTCAGAAAAAAAGAACTAGAGTGATGGATAATAGTTTACAGTTCATAGATCTTCTAAGCTATTTTTAGATTTTCTTTTTCTATTCTTTCGAGCTCAATCTTTCTCCGTGAAATATGCAAACTCTTTGCTCTAAAGTCAGTAACAAGCTAGGAATGTGAATGACTCTTAGGCAGTATAGACTATTTAATTTATTTAGGATACTTTGGGAGGATTCTTGATTTAATATTCACTTACTCTTTTGCCAGCTTAAATTTCAACAAGCTTCCTTAATAGCAGTTAATTACTCTTGTCAGTAGCCTCTTTTTAATCTATCTCCAGAATATTTATCAAAATTAAGTTAATGTTACTGTGCTGATTTAACTCATGAATTTGCCTTTTGTTATTATTGAGTCTAACACTTATATCACTTTCAAGGGAGGCTGTGTTCTTCTTTGCCTTTCTTTTTGAAATCTCGTCTAATCTCTTTTTGTGTCTCTCCAAATATCTAATCAATGATCATAAAGGAAGTAGATTACTCTTCTCTGTATTTATTTTAAAGAATATTGTTTCTATCTATGTAGAAATCTGTCATATTTATCGAATAATAAATTAATTATTTATCGCGCTTACTTAGCAATAATTTCGCAATTTTATATTTGAAGGGGTTTTGGGGTTTTGGGGTTTTGGGGTTTTGGGGTTTTGGGGTTTT